TAGACATTGGCTGTTAAAGTTGACAGGTCATCTACTTCAGACCAATAGCCACTAAGCTCACATTTACTCCAGGAAACTTTCCCGACCCCATAGTTACACGCGCCAATAAATTATCCAGCAGTCCAGCTGCAGGAACAAAATACGTGAAATGTGACTCATGCTGTTTTATTATGCCCCTTCTCTGTTAGGCCGCACAGAGGATTCATTACCCTGCAGCCCAGGCGGTCACGGCTCCCGGTGCCAGCTGCAGCTCGCCAGAAGCGCTCTCGGTGTCAGCTGTAGCTCGGCAAAAACGCTCCCGGTGCCAGCTGCTGCTCGGCAAAAACGCTCTCTGTGCCAGCTGCTGCTCGGCAGAAACGCTCCCGGTGCCAGCTGCAGCTCGGCAGAAACGCGATCAAGACTAGCACTAATGTATTGCAAAAATATATAAAAATCAACATAGCCAGCGGGCAACATTTAAAACCAGAGGCGACCGGGAAACGCAGCAACTTCCCGTGGCACGACTGGAAAACACGGTGGATCCCCGTGGCACGATCAGGAAACACGGCGAATCCCCGTGGCACGATCACCAGTCAGAGGTCGGTCACCTTTTTGGTGGCCGGTGCCCGCGGGCGCTTAGCCGGCTTTGTGCCGACTTCAGTCGACTGCGTTTTGGCCGAGGCCGGTGCCGGGGCCGCCGTCGCCGCCGGGCGAGGCTTCTTGACCGGCTTGGCGACACCGCCACCCACGCTGCGGGCCGCGCCGCCGCCTAGGACCACGTTTTCCTTGTGCGCCGCCGCCGAGGCCGGCAGCTTCTTGTTGGCAGTTCGCCGCGGCGCTGGGGGCGCCGGGCCGGTCGGGCTGGAGGAGAACGCGCGGGCGTTTCGAGGAGACAGCGCGGAACGACCTGCGGCCGGAGCCGGCGCGCCGCCTGGGGACGCAGGCAGGGAGCGTGATGGGTTGAGCTCGTCCCCTGCCGACGCCGACGCCTCCTCATCCGGTGCAGAGGCAGACTTCTTCAGCGACGATTTGGAGCTAGTCTTGGCCAGCTTGGCGGTGCTGCCGGCGGCGACAGGCTTCTTCGGCTTGCCGTTGAGCTTGATGTCGGGCGGCTTGGCCTTGGCGACCTCCTTCTCACTCTTGGCCGTCGACTTCTTGGCCGCGGCGATGCTAAAGCTGCCGGTGAGTGCAGCGCCAGCGTCAGCCTGCCCCTTGACGCGGACAAGGGTGCCGTCCGCCAGGGCCGTCTCCAGCGCCTTCTTCAGGCTCGTCTTGAGCCGTGCCTCCTGCAGCTGCGGGTGCTGCCGCAAGATGTTTCGTTTGATCGCCTGCACAGACACGCCGCGCGGGTTCTCGGCCGCCCGCATCGCCTCCAGCAGCATGTCCCTGGTGGACGGGCGGATCGGCGCGGCAGCCATGGCGGCGGCCGGAGCGGGAGGCACGTGAATACAGACTGACCGCGGCCGCCTCGCCGGCCGGCCCGAGACCTTAGGTCACGTGCAACGCCTCAGGCAGGTCTCGTGGTAGAGGTGCAGCTTATGTGACAATGGAGGCCACTGGAAGTAATCAGGCATATGTTGCGCGATACTTGTCACATGCCGCTATGTAACACCAGAAATGCCCCGGGATTCGGCATTCGTTTTGCTTTTTAGCACTACTGAGACCTATGATTGACTAGGCCCACGTTCTTTCATTGGTATACTTGACATACTAAATATAGTATACGAGATGGTTATTTGGTATAACCGCTGATGCTTTCATCCTTTCACGTGGACAGATACATTATTTTTGGACGACAGATATGACCCATTTTGCTTAAGCGAGTAGCTGGCCAGGTGTGTGCTTTGTGTGCTTTTGAAAGGCAGGAGGTCATCCTGAGGTCGGGATTTGCACTTAGAGGTCAATCGGACTTCTATACCATGCATGGAACAAGAGTTTTTAACGAATATGTTGGCATTCTTCGGGTATTTTTTCGATGAGCATTGTGCCTTGGCATGTCTTGCGTTAAAAACCCTCTGGGCCCCTCATAGGGCGATAGGGCAATACTCCTACAAATTTAGCATAGAGTCTTTTTCAAAAGGCCTTTTCAGCATTCCATAGTTTGTCGGAATTTTTAGGTTTGATTTTCGCTTGGATAAGAGTACTTCGGTCAGTCGTTATCCTTTCAGCGTTGTGGGATGGAGGAGAGTGGATAGTGGTGAGGCAGGACTACGTCCATCTCGGGCTTCCCCGCTGCCGAGACTGTCCCGTGAGGAAACCCCTGTTCAGATTATGTGCGGACGCTCTGGCAGAGCTCCCACCAGTGCGGTATTTAAGCCCACTCATGACTGATGCATGGTCTGGCAGAGCTACCACCAAGACGTACTTAAGCCCACTCAAGGCTGGTGTGGCGTTTCGGGCATTCAGGATAAGCGCTATTATATTTATGTATATATATATATATATGTATATTTACATGAGCATATATATATAAATATATATATATATATATATATATATCAAAATGTTTGCAGCCAATCTTCCAGTCTGCACGAGCAGACTAAAACACCAATGGGCACCCCGAAAAAAACACAAATTGCGGTGCATGCATATGCGTATTTAACCAATGAATATTTGTGAGCATGATGTACTAGGCATATTTCTATACGTTTATACACACACTCGCAAGAACTGTAATCCGTTGTAGACGTTTATGGTGTATGTGAACACGCACATGCACGTGTCCATACAATGTAGACATATATGTGATACATTATGAACGGAGATATTCATGTGCTGAATGTGCATGCGCATGGTCCACAACATTTTCAATAGTTTTATGGAATGATCACCTGTCGCGTGTGGAGTGGAAGAGATTGGAAACATTTTTGAAATGCAAAACTTTCTTGTTGGCGTGACAGTAAAGTAATAATCTCTAGAATGTCGTTTGTGATTTTTTTTGCTGAAACCATTTTTTCCTGTATTTAAGCTGAGCGAACAGGAGCTTGTGACTTCAAAACAAGCTTTTCAGCTGGCAATGAATTCTAACAGTGAAACATTGGTGGTCTTGTGGTTTGCCTTTGACTGCAACGCCATTGAGTAGTACGCTGATAATATAAATAGAAGTCGTGAGTGCTTGCCACCCATAGCCTGCCCCAAATCGTGCAGAATTATCGCGGAGTGAAAAACATCTTCCAGCAACAGGAAAGATGCAAAAGCAGTCAGGATAGCATACGTTAGCTTTCTACATACTTAGCCTAATGCAACTTTGGTGGACCCACCTACCCCTTTTAGATCTTTTAGGCGATAGTGCATGATCAGGAAGCTAGGCGTGCTCCTTTTTCTCTCCTAGCGACTCGAAGAATCACACATTCCCACCGGAAAACGTAAAAGAGGAAGTCGCGTCAACGTATGGCTCCCCCTAAAAATCAGAAGCAAAGTTAAAGAAATCGAAGAAGTATGCAGGGTTGGAAGAGTAACGGATGTTCATCAAATGATCTAAGAGAAGACCGAAAGTAAAAACAACTTGAGCCAGAAAATGTCTGTCTGCTGACTCCTATTTAGGACCTATTTTCAACCGCATCAATCACGCAGCTTTAAGGATGCATGCTGGTCAGATTGGCAGTGCAGAGTGGCCTGCAGAGTCCCGTGCAGACCTCCATGGAGTCCATCTAGCTGAGCAATACTCGCTGCTCCACGACGTTCCCGGAGCCAGCGTCATTGATTAGGGTCTCATTGTGGTGGTGCAGTATTGATAATGGTGTGATTAAGTTAGTTATGGTTCATGGTGCGAGGTTAAATATGTTGGGGGGCGGTCGTAACTGTGGGCCATGACGCAAGGTTTTATATGCTGTAAGTAATGATGATTATGGGTTATGATTTCTGATATCCGCTTGACGTTCTCACAAAAAAGAGCAAAAGTAAAACACAGATTACGCAAGGATGCATCATGTGCATTGATCATGTTTGCACGATTTCGTTTCGCAATGCAGTACATAAACTTAACAATTTCACTTGCAATAAGATTTGATCTTTAAAGGGAGTTTTTTATCTGTGCATAGGGTTTTAAACATACATGGTTAGATTATGGAACAGATGTAACACGATGCTGGGACTATTAAGGCCTAAAATGCCTTGCCTCTTAAGCCAGAATGCGATAGTCGGAGGTATGTTCCCATTGTTCACTTGTTCAGCTAGTCGTTCTGGGCTTTATTCTAGCATGACATTGGCTGCGACAAAACACAAAGACAATGATACGCCATTTATTATTAAAAGCAGCACTCATAATCCAGTGCAGCATACCAAGCCACTGGCCGATGGACTACCGGCACCGGTCGGATGGATGATGGTCGGAATATCCCAGCGACGGGCCGTGATTGGCAGGCAGACCGACGCCTGGCTTGGTGGGTGACATAATGTGCAGGATAACGTAATGGGAGATTATTTGTATTGAATTTGATTTGCGGATTTGAGTTTGATATAATAATATTTTCATTCTGTTTCATTTGATAATAAATTTTATAACTTTGAGATGACATTCATGTAAAGATAATAGTCTCCCTTTCGGTTTTTTAATTAGCAGGACCAATGCCAGCGGACTCCAGGGGGTAGCCAAGGCGGGGGGGGGGCACCCCCTCCCCCTTTAAAGTCAGGATTCCTTTGTTTTTCACTATAAATGACTCCCGACAGACATTAAAAATTGTAGTGATGCGTACTGACCAAGCCCACCACCTATGAAGAGAATCCTGTTTCAGCCTCTGTTGCATTCTGATTAATAATATTCCAAAGGATTCTAAGCTTCGGATCGATTAGTCGGATCACATCTGGTTCAAGGAAGGAGGTGGTGTGGCTTCTGCTATAAAGTTCCACTTGCGCCCCATCCCGCGTCCAGGGCCTGGGCCGAACATTACAGCATTCCAGTGACTCACTGGGTATGACTGCTCCTGTAATTGTGGCTGACTGCTGTCGCCCGCCAGATCGCAAAATGGATATGAATAGAAAATAACTGGCTAATGTTGGAGCTAAGCTGGCCGAAAGGGAATGCGACGGGCTCGTCCTCAGCAGCTCACTCATCATGACTGGAGACATAGATTTGCGCGCGGTATTCTGCCACGCCAGAGCCGGCTCACTCTGGAGTGTCAACTTTCGACTTTCCACTTTTTTGACTTTCCATCTAAGAAAAGCAGCGCTCTTCGCTTGAAGAGGCCCACTTTGTCTGAAACGATCTGGTATTGTGCCAAGCCAGGTCAAAGTGCAAACCCTCCGCTAACACCAAATACATACGCGTTTGTCAAGCTTCGTCCACGATTTTCAGAACAATCCAAAGAACATGGTCGATTTTAAAGTCCTTCAAATCTTTGCAACCTTCGGTGACCACACTTAGGCACGAAGGTTGCACTTACGGTGACTAGAGTGCGCGAATTACTGCTTTACAGGTCACCGGTTCGAATTCCTCAGAACAAGACGTTGACGTACTCTCTGCGGCTCCTTCTTGCAGGCGTCTATTTGATATCTATCTATCAACAAGTGTCATTTACGATGCAACCTGGCAAAGCCAAACAGCTTTGCTGAGCATCGTAAAGCAGAGAGCGTATGGCTTAGGCTGGTGCAGTGTATGGATCCTTGAACATAGCGTGCTTGTGAGCTTTCTATCCCCACTTTGAGGTCGTGCAGGCTTTTCCTGATCCAAGGCGTTCATCCTAGAGCTTGGAAAGACGACAGGATCATTGCGGTGCACAAAGTGGTTAACAGAAAATATAATGACAATTTAAGAGATTTCAGTGCTTTCCCTCTGCTCAAAAGTTCTTGGGAGGGGTTCTTTTACCTCACCGCTAACCCGTCCTATCATGTCACCATAGATCTTGCTTAGCGATCCTGCATTTCTAAACTTCGCATGCCCAAACACGGATCGGACTCAAGCGGGAAGCGCGCTCAGACCGGCGCTTTTTACGTGGATTATACTTATCATGTATGGCGTTTATTCCCATTTTATTGTTTTATTTGTTCTATATGCTGGATTATTTTTCGGCTTTCATAAACGTAGCATTATTTATTGTAAGACGCGTCTCGCACAGCTGGATTGAACCTTATCTCACTGACCGCACGTCAGCCGCCTTTCTGCTTGACAAATCAGCTGACTGTGCACCGGTGAGCCCGACGTCCCTGGAGCCTGAAGGCCCTTTGTTCATATCTCTGACGTGCTGAAGGCTGTGGGCCCTTTGTTGATGCGTTTCGCGTTTTACGCCCAGCTGGCCGATTCTTATTCAAACTAACTGCACCACGTACGCTGATGACCTCCAGCTTTGTCATCGTCTCAGAGTGCCGAAGACACTGGCGACGACTGATCTGGACCGTTTAGCGGAGAGGTCGCCAAGCTGGCGTATCAGGTCAAACCCCAACAAGTGCAAATGCGTACCGTTCACGCTACGCCAATCGCCCA